ACTGCCAAGCCTGTGGTCATGGATGGGTTAGGTCAGGCCAGTGACAGCCATGGGGCTGCAGTTTAATTCCCAGTTTCACGTTCTATCAATAGGCGTAGAATTGCCATATTACAGGGTATCTCGCTCCAGGTGTAGTCACAGGATGCAGTTCTGTAGGCTCTCAGCTCCATCCCTCAGTCCCCCCCCACCCGCATGGGCTGCCCTTGGCCCCTCTGAACCTACCATCCCCCTGCGTTAATTCTGCCGCACCAGCGCCGCCTTTACCCATGCCAGCTGAGGACTTCTGAGTTAAGGATATAGCCATAATTAACTTTGGGAAATGAAGAACTTTATTTCTAGCATTCTAGATTTATGCATTAGCACTTCTCTTTTGGAAATTCAATTTATTTGAACTGGGAATTATTTTATTCCTGTATCTGAATTAGATTACTGTCATGTCCTAGCTATCATTTCTTTTTCCAGTCTAGATGAGCGGTCTGCTTTTTATTCACACATTAGCATCATCCTTTCTCCTTCCTAAGGAACCAACCCTGGTTTCGAGGGGAGCCACAATTACACCATCTCCCTGCTGTAGTTTAGGAATATTGCTGAGAACAGCTCCTGAGCCACGTTTGGGTTAAATGCAAAGAATTATAATACACATATAGGTACTGGCCACAGTGGAACAAAATTCTCCATTATACCAACATTTAATTTGCAGGAAGAACACTTCAGTTGAAGTTTTGAGACATTTCAGTAAGGTTTTTCTTTTTAAATTTGATTTCTCTGTGGGAGCCTGAACAGCTGCAATTGCTTCGGAAGGCTGAAGTTTGAAGTTCAGGTGGGTCACACAACCCTCTCATCTCACTCACTGTCAGCATGCACACGGCCAATGCAAAAAGTTTTCATCATACGGTTGGGATGGTTCTCCCTGGACAGTCAGTTATCCTAGGGAAGGGGAAGCCCTTCTACCCAAAGTAGAAGAAATCACTGATTTTCCATGTGTCCGTTCACTTCCAGCACGGGTTTCTACTAGTAGTGACATAAACTCAGTGTTACATTTACTCTTCAAAGAGAATTATTGTGGGCATGGTATTTCAAATAAGCTTTGCACAGTCCGGGTTTTTAATGAACTTCAACAGCAAGGCAGACTAGTGCCGATTCTGCAGCATTCAGAAGTAGTTATATTTTGCAGTATTTTCATCTTTGTTCAGCTACTTTTCTTCATCTACAGGAATTACAAATATAGCATCTGCCTTCAGTGAGCTCACTAATGAGCTATTTCTGCCTCTGTGCCCACTGTAGGCAGTGCAAGCGCTATGCACAGCTCTCAGGCTTGCACCCTGCCTTTTTAGAAATACTTCTGTCAGGATAGTTAGAGGGGTAGCACAGGGCTAAATATGTCTATCAGAACCTAAGTGACGTTAAGCCAACTCCTCCAGCACTTGCTCTTCACTTACGTCAAGAGCATTTTTTTTTTTATGCCAGTATTCGTTTCACAAAATAAGTCTGACGGCAGAGGTAGAGCCACACGAACATAAACGCTATACTTTCAGCTCGAGGCAGGGCTTCTTTCTGCCTCAGTCCCTGGCTCTTGCCCAGGGCTCCTTCGGGCAGGGCTGCCCCTGCCCTTCGCACACCATGCTCTGGAGGGCGAGGGTGCCGGCCTGCGAGGCAAAGCTCTCCCCCTCCCAGGAGGCACAGGGCCACGCTCAGTGCTGACTATGACCGGGGCAACTTCTGTCAACCCAAAACACTGGTACTTGGTCCTGAACTGGCCGAGCTATCCAGTCCCACGACCGACCTGATTTCAGATCCACTATCATCTTTCTAGACCCCTTTTTCTAGGGACATTCTTGTTGTGCTTCAAGACATTGGATCCAAGCACAGAGTCTTTTATCACATGAAAATCATTGCTCTCCACCCTCTATAGAATATTTTCTATATGACACGCTCCAGTTGTATGGTCAGTGAAATACTTTAAAGATCACAACCACCATCCTTCTGGAGGGAGGAAAGGGGGGGGGTGGGAAAAAAACCCCAAACCCAAACAAACATGGTATAAGCAAATGCAGGTCTCAAAAGACAGCAAATAAAAAAAAAAAAAAAGAAAATATAACCCAAAAAAAGCCTGTTGCCATACAGTTAACTAAGTGCTGTCTTTAAGCTTGAAGTTCAACAATGTGAAGTGGAACATCACCATTCTTTTTCAGTTGCCTCTTTTTTTTTATTATTATTTTTTGTCAGTAGTTGGACTGCTATTGCAAACACCTTCACAACATACAAAAAAAACAAATTTGTTTTTAATCCAGAATAAAGTAATGATTTTTTTTTTTCTATTTCAATCTGATGGGAGTTCAAAAGTAAAAGAGAAACAGTAAAACTATGACAACAGCACCTTGACATTGTTTTAATTCCAACGCTATCAGAAGTTAAAAGCAGTAAACAGATATAATACTAACAGGAATAAAGATACTTACTGTCTAAAATGTAAACGGAATGTTTTGGTTCAATTTATTTTTTCTGAAAGAGGACAGTTTATCATCAATTCACAACTGAAGCAGCATGCAATTTTATTCTTTTTTTTTTTTAAACTTTTTCTATTTTCAATTCTTGGCAACGGCGACAAACCACAATGTTATCGAGGAATGTAAGGCAAACTTTTGTTTGCTTGTTTTTCTTTTTTTTTTTTTTTTTAAACTTGTGCGCAAATGACTTGTTCCCCTTCAGGTCATGGATATGTTCAATAAATAGATTGTGGAACCACTGTACTGTATAAACTTCAGTTATACATGCAGTCCATAAAATTATTTTTTTTACCGAATAATTTACCCTGTTATGTATATATACAAATAGATAATTTTGTCTCAATATAATCTATACAACACAAATCCACTATCTTCCCCTTTTAATGGTTAATGTACATACACAGGAAGTGTCTATCCTTATAAAGCGCCAGCCAACTCTCTTTTTACTATCCATGGTGAGAGCTCTCACGTAAGACTGGGTAGTTCGGCACTGGGAGTTCCAGTGCCTCTTGTCTATGCCCCTGCAGCCCTCCTTTGTGTACCCCTTGGGGTTGCATTTGGTCTCATAGAAGTATTGCTTCAGTTGGCCTTTGGGTACTGGGACTTTTTCCAGGACTGTGACGGTCGCCCCAGACATGTCCACTGCAGTCTTTTTCTCCGCCGCTGTCACCCACTCGCTCGTGCTGTCACACACGCTCAGTTCCCCGCGGCGAGCTGGGTCAGAGTGGCGCCGGACCCTCATGGACATGTTTGCAGCATCCAAGTAGTTTTTGTACTCCTCGAGCAGAAAGAGCAGTGGGGGTTCCAAAGGCACTTGACTGCTTAGCATGACTCGGGATGTGTACAAGTCTGCATCCTTGTTTTCCTCGCTGGGCTGGATGTCCTGGTCCTCATCCAGAAGCTCCTCTATGACGTGTTCAAAAGTGTCCGCCAGCGATGTCAGTCCTCTTGAACCAGCACTGGGCCCATTTAGGCTCTCAAGAGTCCCGTGGGTCCGAAGACCTGGGTAAGCCAAGCTGCCTTGTCCTCTTACACTAGCTTCCTTCATCGGGGCAGCTTTCATGCAACTGAAGTATGAGATAACCATAGTAAGGAAAAGGATGGTCATCACTCTTCTCACTTGGTGGAACTGTTGAGGACAAGAACAAGAAAAAAAAAAATTAACTTACAAGGGGTGGAGCAATAACAATTCACCTAAGTTGTCATGAAACACCGTGCATTTCTGCAGAGATCTCCTGCCTGCAGCCACAACTCATTACCAATGATAAAGCATACTCTTGTACAAGGGTGTTCTTCGATTTAGAGTTTCAGATAAAGCGTATGCCAAAGCTCAGGCAACATCGATACCAGCAAGTCAGAGCTCTTATGTGCCAAAGTCTTCCCGTAGTAAGTATTAGATTAGATACTACACAGACTCCTTATTTACTGACCGGTTACACCTATTTCAAGTGACAGCAAAAGCAGAACTGCTATTTAGCAACGCAACATTTCAGCAATGAAAGGCAGCTTTGCAAGCGTGAAAGGCAAGACTTCCACTTCAAGGGCAAATGCAAATATCTAATTTTTAAGATTATGCCAGAAATATTTCATCATTCTAGCCACAAAAACCTGAACAGCACCAGGATAAATGGCATTTGTTTTTTGAAAGCAACCTTCAAAACACAGGAGGCGGCCCTACAATTCTGAGGTCTCGGCAGGTCAATTCCTCATCTAAAAGTAGAGGGTATGTATGCATAAATATAGAACAAGAAAATAGTCCAGGACAGTATACTAAATCTGAGCTGGACAGATTGCTTGCATCATGTGAATGCCATGGAAGGGACCTGCTGGATTACAGAGCTGATAACAGCAACACTGAAATGACAGTACCAGAACCACTGTACCATACTTTCCCAGAGCCCCACACCGCCTGTTTTCAAGCCAGCAAAGTGTCTATTTAGACTCAGTTAAAGCCCAGAGCCCAGCATGAAAACCAGAAGCACAACCAGCCCTACTGCCACACTGAAACACAGCAGTTCGCCCATCTCTCTCACATTCTACCCCAAGTTCTGGCATATGTTATGGGCTATGCTTTGAGGCTTATGTGTACCCTTGGCTGTGTCCTCGTTGAGCATGGAGGGGTAGCACCAGGGAGGACTGCTGGTAAGGAAACTCCTCACCAGGCTTGGAATCAGTACGACCCACTCCTATAGGCACTCCCAACAGCTTGGGCTTGTATGATTGCTCCTTCCCAAGCGCCTTGCTAAGTCTTCATAGATTATACCTTCCTCAGCATAGAAATTGTTCCCTCAAGTGCAGAGTACACACTTACATTACAACCAGAACCCCCCAAACCCTGCAGTGACAGAGAGCTATACTTTCTGTCTGATCCCAAGTGCTACTACAACATCCATCACGTCCAGTTGTTATTTTTCCTTCTTCCAATCCCTGCTCTCACCAGTTCTGCTTGCTAGAAAGCAATGGCATTGTTCACATTTTTGAAGAAGCAGCTAATGCTTGTTTCAGAGCTTTTGAAGTTCATTCGGAAGTACCTCATACTTGGCAGCGCTCGTTGGAGTAAATGCTATTTCTGTTTGCCAACAGGGTGCTATGTAAAAAGTCTTACTTCATCTCCTGCAAATATGCTGTGGGAAACTAGTACTCTTAAGACTCGAACATGGAAATACAATCTATCATAAAACATACAAAGAAAATGAAATATGCACTAGAAAGGCAGTGCCCAAAATACAGGTCTCAAAGTTTACTTAATGAAGTGGGAGGTGGGTGGGAAGTGTCTGGGTTTGTGTCTATGCCCTCCTCACCCCCAGCTCCCCACTAAACAAGATTTTTGGCTAAGAATCCTCTCTACTCCAGCACAACTCTTCCTTCATCCCTCCATCTCTCTTCCTGTTTAAAAGTGTTATTGTGGCATAGTTTTATTAAGATTAAACAAACCTGACATCTGTGACTCACAGGAACATAGTGTTTGCTCTAACCATGCAGAACACTAATATTTTGCAGATTTTTTTTCATCCTAGGGTTTTTAAAAACATTCTACAGGGAGTAATATCGGATTTCTTCCTCAAAGTGGAGGAAGAAAGACACTACAGAAATGATTTACAACACAAGGAAGAAGGTTATCAGTCTTCCTTTATCAAACAAGGAGAGACAAGACAAGAGGGAGAAGGGGGGGTTCAGCCAGCATATAAATGCAGAGCCAGTGGAACAGGCAACAAAAATAATAATATTCATACACTCCCTCTTCTGAGAATTGTTTTATATAAAACTTAAAAGGAAAAAAAAAATCCAAACACCCACATCACACTCTGACCACCAGAGCAGTGAACAGAACACAGATCTTCTGGCTCCCAATCAAGTTCCCGTTATTTTTATTAGAGTAGTGCCCAGAGGTCCCAGCCAGTATCTCGACTCCGGAGGACAGACTCTGTCTGAGTACCCCAAAGCACCTTCCAGTCTAACAGAGAGAGGACACAACACAAGAGGCACCAAGACAAGCACAGAACAAGCAGCAGCTTGCACCAGTTGGGAGGCTGAACATTTGCTTTTCAAGTTCAGTAGGTGAACAAAGGATAGCAGGATTCTTGGATCAGGCCACCTCCTTCACTGTTCACCTCTCCTGGCAGCAATGAACTGGGAGGGATGTGAAATGAATAGAACAGTGGCCGTGCAACTTTGTTCGCACGGACATTTTTCTTAGGAGGAAGACAGAGGCGCAGAGAAACCTTACCAAGTGACATCAATAAGCCCTTGGTATCCTCTGCCACTGGCTAGTTGGTGACCAGATCTGGCAGTACTTTATATCTCACGTTCCTTAATCAATTTGTCCTTCCATTTTGGAAGGAAACTGCTGTCGAGCTTGATCAATTTATAACCCATCCAATGACATACAACTGCCACTATTATCTGGGGTAGCGAGAAACAACGTACAACTAGGCTCTGAAAACCAACAACTTTAAGACAGCCATTATCCACATAACGTACTGATGATACGCAAAAAACGTGTCCCCCTAAAAGCCACCCCTCTTCCTCCCATTTATAACAGCAGAAGAATACATCAAAGTAGGCTTTAGCAGCATAGACACACGGAATACTGCTAACGAGCAGACACAGATCAAACATCTTCTTTGTAAATGAGTCCCAGACTAAGCCAAACTGCATAAGCAGGATGTGAAAAGATTCTTCTCTCTATCTTGACAGTCACTTGGGCAATATACAGTTCTTATCCTTGGCAGCAAAATGACATCAAGCAATTTAATATGAGGAGGTAGTATTTTAACACCGAGGAAATTTCATCATTTTAGAGGCCATAGCAATTTCTAGTAGCAGCTACTCAAAATCTACTAGTTTAACATGCTATAGCACAGTGAAGTTCAAATCTTACTTCATGGGTAGAAACACACAACCTTTCAGCTACTGTTGAACTGACTCATGAATACACGGTTCATTTCTTACTTAGTGAGGCAGGACTAATATCCCAATGTAGCACCAAAAAGGCCATTGGACACACTTTGGATGGCAGCTTCCAGTCCTTCTCCTCTGCTCCCCAACTATCAAACCTTAACGGTATTGCAAAGATTAAAGTTACTGCCTGTCTTGTTACAGTAAGTGCCTTGTAAACCCCAAACGCTGACAGATTACATAGACCCTTCTGATTACAAGGCAATCACCATGCCACCCTCCGTGAAGTGGAACTGGGGTAGGAACATGGGAGAAAGCTGGATTTTCCCGTTTTCCCAGCATGCTACTACTGAGCAAGGTACTGCCCCTTCCTATGCTGGGCACGTCCACCACTAAGAGGTCTTGTATGGAGATGCCCCAGCATTTCTGTGTATATCCATGCCTGATGCTGCCCTGGTAGAGTGAGCAACTATTTCCGATGGAGGCTCATCAGTGCTGAGTGTTTCTTAAGTGGAGCAACCTGGCTGATACTGCATGTTCCGAGCGCATCAATACAACTGAATGCCAGACAAAACAGAGCGGCCATGGCCACTTTTAGTCAGACATACAGCTAGAAAAAACACAAAATAAAATCACTGATGATACAGCCTCCATCTGTAGTGCTATCACGCGTTCGTCCCCTCCCTTCTCAGCTGTAGGAGGTTCAGGTCTCTATTCCCCGCCATTTAGGAACAACAACTAAAGGCTGCAGCCCTTTTGCACTCCTCCTGTTCAGCTATGTCACCGGGCATAAAAGATCAAAGACTTCTCTAGGAGAAGGAATCTTGGTTCAGTTGCCGTCCCACAGACTGCTGTATACACACACTAACTTGTGTAACATAGGTACAGGCTAGCCTCAAGACCTAGCCTTAAACTACTCCAGCAGGTCACACAAGACATCTCGGTCAGCAATCACATTTGAGACCAGCTTCTGGAACGCCATCCATTCTCATGGCTGCAAGAACATCCTTCCTTCTCTCACGGAGGCACAGCAAAGCTGAAGCAATGAAAAGAGGTCACCCACCATGGACCACATCTCAGGAAGACATGACCTAGTTTGTATTTCAATAAAGTCCATACAATTACAGCTAGAATAAGGGCACATAATTGTGGCAGTCGTCTCCACTAATGGGAAGGAGGCTCATTAAATGAAGGTCATGTCAATTATCTACAGCTAGTTTACATATGCAGTCAATTACTTTGCTGTACTATTTATTTCAGTATTTGTACTTAATGAGGATTCACCAGTTAATTGTTTTATGTCATTATTTTTAGTTATCTTAAGCAGAAATCTAGCAGCTTAACAGGTTGTATTTCCAGCAGAGAGACCTGAGGAACAGCTGTGAACACGTACTTGCTTTTCTGCATCCTGATACGTGCCATGAAAGTTGAAATAACTTTCAGTAGTGAATAGATTCATAATGCTTTAATCTCCAGAGAGGAGTGTGCGGTGGAAGATAAAATTAGCAGCGAGACGACATTCATTTTCTGCCTTGCCATTTTCTAAGACCTTTACACAAAAGTTCAATTTACTAAATACTACTGAATGGCACAGGCATGAGTTCCTGCTCTACGCATCATTACCAGAGTGTGTGAACAGATACCAAAATGGGATGCATGTCAGCACATGATTTGCAAAGACTAAATGTACTGAGAACAAATAGTATTAACCTTTAACACATGCATAA